GATTATCGGTTGCAACCGGTCGACCCTTCCCTCAATTCTGCATATTATTTTGTTCAAATAGGTTTTGAGTTTGATGCTCACCTTGAAACCGTATCAAATGAGAAAACAATCTATCCTACTCAGATTTAGGTGAAAAAAAAATGGACCGCCTGGAGATCTCTTAGGCATATTTTGTCCAATTTCTTTCTTGATAGCATCAGATATCAAAATTCTCGTTAGATACCTTGCATTGAATGTTGTGATGATGATTATTATACATTTATATCACCCGTTATATTATCCCGTTTATATCATTGCATTTGATTACCTGACAAATATACTATTGTTGTGGTTTTCATTACCCTGAACTTGATTTTGGATAAAAATAGGAAAAACTTAATAATATAGTAAAAAATTATGCTTTAAAAATTTAAATTTAGGCCTCATTGGCAAGTGGTTATGTGTAGCCTAAAAGCTAAAAAGTTACTAACAAAATCAAAAAGTCAATAACTTATTACCTAAAAAGTCAAAATTCTTGTCTCCTATTTTTTGCACATCTTTTGCTTAAAAAGTCAAAAAGTTCATCCCAAGCGATACTAATTTTTTTACTTCCATATTCTTAGCCAAAAAATATACTCAAATAACTTGTTTCCAAACAAGGTTTAAGTCTCCGTTTGATATGGATAATATTAGAGACAGGAAGGCAGCCCAGAACATTCTGTTGTCACATATGAATCTATGGATAGTACCTTCTTCTATTTCTATTTTATTTCTTTAATCTAATGGGTTGACTGAGCTCCTGAATTAGAGGGTGCAAATTAACCTGAAATTGTGAAATCATAAAATCTGTTTAAATTCATCCCAAAGTTATAAGTGAGTTTAAATTGGTAACGTAAGCACGTCGTTTAAAAAGCCCCACAAGCACCGCCTCCTCTAAAGTGATTGGTTAGAGTCATTTCTATTGGGGGGTGTGAGGTGATTGCAGTTAGTGGTCTACCACTATTTTAAAAGTAGGATTGAGAATTATCTAATTAATGCTACAATTAGTGTAATAGCCTTAAGCTGTTGTATGGCTAGCTTTAAGCTTCTTGTTTTACAATTATCTGTCTATTATTTGAAAAATTTTAAAGATTGTATTTTCTAGAGATCTACCAGAAGCTAATGATAATAGAAATTGATACCTTAATTTTTGATCTTCTAATTCCTTGTAAAGCTAAGGTACTGTTTTGATTTTAACCTAAGTTTTCTTCTAGGCATAAAAGTTTTGATTTTTTAAATTCCTTTTATGAACAATAGTTTCCTTAATAATTTCTACTCGGAATTGCGCTCCTTGTTATTCTGAAATTCTTTTCTTTGCAAAATATTTTAGGCAATGTTTGTTTTTCATTACATGTATTCCCACCTTGAAGCTAAGTTTCGTTCAACATTAGTATATTTTTAATTTTTAATTTTACCTTTCTCCTTCTGCCTACAATTTGCCCTCAAACGCTAACCAACCGCTCCACACGGGCTATTCAGCTAAGGTCACTCAGTAATAAAATAGAAAACAACAGATACTACGAAGGTGCAAAGCATGTAATATTAATGAGCAAACAAGCATTCCATAAACTTAGTTTTTCCAAAAAGAAAATAAATTTTTAAAATAGAAGAGTTACCCTTTTGAAATATTTAAGGAAAAAGAGAGACTACTCACACTTCATATTAATAAGGAATATACTTACAAAGATTATATTACAGACTCTAAAATTCTGAAAGACTTGGTACACTTAGGCCATGTTTGTTTGGGTGGACATGAGCTTGGGATTGGACTAATAATCCAATAAAATTATTAATCCGATATTTGGTTAAACAATTGAAGTACGGACTAATTATTTTAAACTTGACTATTAGTTAAGATAGGATACATAATCTAACGAATTCGTAGTCCTAGGACTATTAGTCATGGGAATGCTAATCCAGTCCGCTCAAACAAACATGGCCTTAGAGGATTTTGAGAGGTTGAAAATTTTTACAAAGTAGAGTGAAGGGGAATTTTTCATTATGCCTCTTCTGTTGGCATGAATGCCAATTTATACAACACAAAAGGAAGATAAAAACAAAAGCTTCAAATCTATGCTTAACATCTTACGTCTAAACTTTCCTGAAAGTCTAAGACCTATTCAAGCCTAGACTTAGGCTTTTTCAAAATCTAATAAAGACAAGGCTATATGCATACAATTATATGCCTATTTTGACAAACTTTCTACATGGATAAAAACAAGTAGAGGGTTTGGATAATGATGCCGGGTACTGCTTTGGGCCCTATCGCACATCATTCAATCCTCCCTTTTTGATAAAATCTTGACACTATAATTTATTACAGGACACGTGTACGGATTCTCACAGTTTTTCTTTAATAAAGCAGGGTAGGGGTCATCTGCTTTATTAAAGTAGTGAGTGAAGGAGAAGCCTTATTACTGATGGACACAAATAATTACAGACATAGATATTTACAATAGCTATTTATCTTTTCTTGGCGTGCTCATCTCTGACTATTGAAGAAAGGCTTTATCTTTAAAATTTGTCTTTTTCCTCTAGGATGCCAATAATTGATGTCGACGCTTGGATGCTGAATCTTCAAAACGGATTCTTTGTGGAAGATTTACAAAATTTGAAGAGTCAAAAATCTTGTAATACAGAACCAAAAATCTTGTAATATTTTCAAAATATTATATGAGTCTTAATTTTGAAGTACACCATTTTTTTTTTTTCACCTATACATTCTATCTGAGAAATCGTCTAGGTCTGCTACTGAGAGTTGGTCGTAAAAATCATTCCCCATAGCTGGTTCATCTCCCATTGATTATCTTGGTCATCTTGTCCCATTACTGGTGACTCATGAGAGACGTTATGCTGATAGTTGGGATACTGACTTTCATCGATGAATGTTTCTTTACTGAAGGGATATCCTGAAATAGCTAGGTTACAATATATCTTCTAATTTCTATCTTCACAAACTAGACGTCCATAATTTCCATTATACGCTAATAGAGGATTATTAGCAAATTTCCTCCATTTATTGAGCTGATCTCTGAGTGAAAATTTTCTGCATGGCCAAGGTCTCCGATTGAGAAGTCCTGGGTATCCTGGGAATGTCAAGGTTCATCTGAGGTACATTTTATGTTTAGTTGGATTGCACATAATTCTTTTCCACTCTGATAGTCTGCTATCAATTAATGCTTCTACATATGGATGATGCTCTTCCATTACACAAAGTACCGAATGAGCAAGTTTATTCCCAAAGCTATCTGTCTGATCTGGATCTGAGAAAATTATTCTAGAGACAAAGCCGTAATCTAACAATTGTAAGGTTGTTAGATAACGTGTTTCGCCCCTAATCTCTATCTCCAATGGTTCGAACGTTGTTAGATTTATCTGGCAAAGGCAGATGCTAAAATCTAAATTACACTGGCATCGACCAAAATGTTCTGACCTCTTTGTACATCTTTCCTCTTCTAAGCAGGGCTGCTCTTCATCTTCGTAGAGATAAGTCCATTGATAAGCTATACCAGGGCATTGAACTCCTGCTATGAAGAGGTTTTGAAAGAACTGCTGAATAGTGACTAACTCGCTATTTCTGCTATCTTCGGCTAAGGTGTATATATGGGGTTTAAGGTCCTTTATTTCTTGGCTTTTCTCACAAAAAAATCGAATGATAGAATGCCTGAAGAAATACATTCTAGCACTCAATTGTTCAAATTCCTCACCGGTGAGTTGTCTGGTTTCTGGGTTATGAAAGGGGGCAGTTGTTTTTCCTGGAGCTAATTTTTTAAGCTGGTTGGTTAGGGTTCAAATGGTTGCTCTCAATTGTTTTTCTTCGTCTCGGAGCTGGTCTAGCTCTTCGCTAACCCTTTTGCCTTTATCCATAATTTTCTTGCTGATTATTATTCCATTATTTATGAATTCTTCTAATGCTATATATAAATGATCTATGTGACTATTTTTATCTGGACTAAATACTAATACGTCATCTATATATACCAGTATAAAACTATATTTATTAAATATGCTATCCATCTTACGCTGAAATATGGAGGGTGCATTTTTTAATCCAAAAGGCATAACTAGCCATTCGTAATGTCCTTGTGGGCAACAAAAAGCTGTCCAAAGTATGTTTTCCTTCTCCATTTTTATTTGCCAAAATCTCGACTTGCAATCAAATTTACTAAATATTTTTGCTGTCTGTATTCTGTTAATGAGCTGATCTTTATCTGGTATATTATATTTATCCTCTTCTGTATTATCATTTAATCTTTTATAATTTATAACCATTCTAACTTTTCATCTTTTTATCTCTGCATGATTTCTAACCATAAATGCAGCATTCCTATACGGACTATTACTAGGTCTAATTACTCCTAAATCTAGTAACTCCTTAATCTGTGTTCTAAATTCTTCTATATCTGTTGGCGTATATCTATTTGTGCTGATGTAATCCTATAATCTTTATTTTTTATATCTATTTTTTATATCCTATAATCCTATAATCTTTATTTTTTATTTCTTTCCCAATATTTCATGGGCTGTTCTCCTAAAATCTCTGTTGTTTCAACTAATCTTATTATTTCATCTAAATCATTTTCTGTTCTTCTGTATACTGGTTTTTTCTTTAATTTTCCTATTTTTGCAAAAATTAATTTTAGGTTAACTGTTTGTTGAAAATCTTCTAGGTTCCAATAGTCTCATTTTTCTTCAAAATCAAATTCTTCTAAATTCTCTAGTTCATAATTTTCTATGTCTAAATTTTCTAAAGAAGTGTTTGCTATCTCATCAGGTATATATTTTTGGGCTAGCTCGGGAAAAATATTTCTACTAGGAAATAAAAAACTAGCAGGAACTGAATCTACTCCTCTGGTACCACCACGCTTCACACGCAACTCTGATGAATAGGTAATGGTGCTAAGGACATATGTTGTGGGTGTATGTACTGTTCGTTTGAAGAAACTAATTTTATTTTGGCTGATAAACATGCCTCTTTGTAGGCTAAGTATGAAGTTAAGTCCTAAAATGAAAGGATGATTTTGCCGAGTATTTCCAATCCAAACTTGAGGTAATGGGAACCATTCTATATGTTGAGTTTGAGAACCTAGGTGATGAAAACTAACCTGCGCTCCATTGATGCAATGTGTATATGTTTGTTTAGTGCCATTGGCTATACTGACTAAAGCTGGGGTTGTTAAAGCTGTGCTCCATCCTGGTGGAACTATGTGTTGTTCAATATATGACTTACTAGCTCCGGTATCTATCATGGCATCTATACTAAGGATTTTTTCTACAAATTTAATTACACAAGAGATCTCAACTAAATTTGGCTTGGATATAACAGGATAATTAAATGGTAAATAAGTATTATCTGACTTTGCTTGAGAGTACTGACTAAAGGGTTGAGAATCAACTAGGTTGACTAATTCTAAAGAGTTCATATGTTCTTCAACAAGTTTGTCTTCTAAAGGGCATTTATTGTGAAATTGTTCTAGCTGCTATTTAAGCTGTCTATTTTCTAGTTCTAAACATTCTATGTCAAAATTAGCTTTAGTTTCTGCCTCTCGTATTTGTAGTTTGAGTTCTCTTGTACTTCTAATTCTCTACTTGTTAGATGTAATTCTCTGCTTTCTAAACTCTGATCTTCTAACAGCTCGCTGTTATTTCCTGATGTTATCTTATGTGTTGAGAGGGTAATTTATAAGTAAATTGGGCCGAGCAAGGTAATGGGCCATTTTATGAGCCGTAGTAAAAAAGGGTGAGTAAAAGGGCCTGGTAGTTACCATGGTCCAAAAGAGTTTTGTAGTTAGCTCGGTCGGCATGGTCAGAACGGCAACAGTTAGCTCGATCAAAACCACATTGAGCCGAGGTATTTTAGGCTTTTTCTCAGGACCTTGCTGCTGAATAGCTCGGTCTAAGTATGCTATGGATAGCATGGTCTCAACAGGTGAAATCGAAGTACTAGTAACAGAAGAGAGAACCGAGCTAGGTAGAGCTCGGTCGTTTCGGCCAGTTTAGCATGGCTATGTTACCTCGGTCGTTTTGCCTTACTGCCAAGGTAAAACCATCTCACTTGGTTTAAGCAGTGAGGAAGGTGTTGAAGGATAAGCATTATCTTTCTAAAATGTGATCCCTAGGAGGACTCTACATGGAGAAGAGTCCCACTAGGGTTGTGCCACGCGGAACCTATAAAAGCTCATAGCATCACCTATGGAGAGGTAACACAACTTTGATTCCCGAATACACAAAGCTTTTTGTCTATTTGTCTATTTTTCTGACTTAGGCATCAGAGAGGTATCCGGCACACCCCCGCCGGCTAGCTCACGTTTGTGTTTTCAGAGAGTAAAGCGACGTCATACAAAGGAGCGCAGATTTGATCAGCAGGATTATACGAGAAGGTTTATTTCTTTCCCGTACAATTGGCGCCGTCTGTGGAAAAATCAGACAAAGAAAAAAACCTCTTGATCAAGTTTCCCTCACTAGTTGAATGGCGCACAACGAAGATTTGCCACAGTCCGCCATCGACGGACAAACCCCAGAGGGGGGTGGGAGGCGCGAAGGATTGCCCTCTATCCCTCCCATGGCGGACTTAGAGCCCGGGCGACAGAATCCCTAGAGGGATGTAAGGGGGAGACAGAACAACAACCCCCGTCGCTCTCGCTCACAAAGTCCTGAAAGGCAAAGGCGAAGAATCGACCCTCAAGCTCTAGAGGATCGCGTAAAAGAGCAAGATGAACTAATAAGGAAGATGGCGGCGGACATGGAGGCCATGAAGCGCCAGATCAAGGGAAAAGGGGTGGCGACAGGAGAGGGGCGCAAAGGCAATATGCCTCCTCGCCACTCAGAAGATCGTGGTTGGCATACCACGCCATCGCAAGCAGAAAGTAGAAGCCTTAGGACAGGCGACACTCAATTAAGGACTTCCAAAACTCGTTACTCCAGGTCTAAGAGAACGCGATCATTGAGGTCTTACACTGAGGGAAGTACCTATCGGCCCTCACATACGCACCAGACATCATCCAGGCAAACGGAGTTGCCTAGATCGTCCAACTTACGAACTGTGCTTGAAGAAAGGGCACGACGAAAGGAGAATGCCAGGGCACGCGACCCGCACAGAGTTTCAGCCCTTCAGCGGTTGGCTCCTCGAACGCATGGAAGCGTCGAGGTTGGAATGCCAATACCACACCTTGCCTACGAACCAACAGATAAAGCATTGGCAAGACTACATAGCTCGCGTTCATTCCGGCGATTGAGAACACACCATTACCCTCAGGCTTCATCCAGCCTAAATTTACCACGTACGAAGGGAAGACAGACCCTTACATGCACTTAAGCCACTTTCGCCAGGTCATGGCGGTATACCGGCGGAACGAAGCTTTGATGTGCATCCTATTCCCATCCAGCCTTGGCGACTTAGGTTTAACCTTGTTCAAAAGGCTACCAAAAGGCAGCATAGCCTCCTAGGCGCAATTAGCGGAGGCGTTTGTAACAAGGTTCAGAACAAACACCAAGACGCCTGTGGAGATCGATCAGCTACTCTCCATTGACATGGGCGACAAGGAAACATTGAGATCCTACAACAGTCGCTACTGGGAGACATTCAACCAGATAGGGGACTGCCCCACCAATCTTGTCATCGCACAATACAAAAGAAGACTTCCAATCGAAAACAGATTGAGGGATTCAATTACTATGACTCCACCCCTCACGATGGAAGCCTTGATGGAGAGAGTGCACCAACATATTCGGGTGGAGGAGGATGGCGCCCGTGCCAAGGCAAAATCTGGTGCAACAGCAACACCAGATAAGAAGACCACGGCAAAAATCAACACAGTAGAACGTCCAAGCAAAAATGGACGAGGCAGACGAGACAACGAAGTGGACCGAGATAAAAGATGGTTGAGAGTCCGCACTGCCATTACCACGGTATTCAAGAAACCAATCTACCGAATTCTCAGCGAGATACGCGATGAACCTTTCGTTAAATGGCCAGCTAAATTGGGAGAGGCACAGAAGGACTACGACGAAAGATCTCGGTGCACCTTCCATAAAGAAAAGGGGCATCGCACTGAAAACTGCACGCCGTTGAGACAGCATCTGGAGGAGTTAGTGGCAGCTGGTCACCTGGATCGGTACATAGAGGGAGGGACGCAGCCAGCTCCCCAAAACCACGATCACCCAGACGGAACACCGATTGACGCCCCACCTCAAAGCGTGATAAACGTAATACATGGAGTATTCGAGCCTGAGCGAGTATGTGAGCTTAGGGGCATGATAAAGAAGGCTAAGCACTTAAGGGATTTATTGAGTGCACAACTCACCATTAAAAAGGAGAAAACAGAGGCCACAAATGTCATGTCTTTTTCAGACAAAGACTTGGCAAGGATTTATTGCCCTCACAATGATGCACTGGTCGTCACTCTCCGCGTCAAGGATTACGACGTCAAGCGAATTTTGATCGACCAATAGAGCTCATGTGAGATAATGTACTACGAAACTTTCAAACAGTTGAAGCTGAAGGACAAAGACTTGGCACCTGCTGTATCTCCCCTAATCGGATTCAACTCAATGCCAGAATGACCAGTTGGCAAGATTATCCTCCCGGTCAGAGCAGGAAGCATGACGAAACAAGTGGAATTTTGGGTATTGAAAGTCCCTTCCACTTACAACATAATCTTGGGAAGGACATGGCTGCACGCCATGCGATCGGTAGCGTCAACCTACCATCAAGTACTGCGGTTCCCCAACGAAGCCGGAGTAATTGAAGAGGTCTATAGAGACCAAATTATGTCCAAGCAATACTTCGTCACAGTAAATGGCAGCCGAGCTGCCAAAGGGTTTGTTTAGATGGTGGAAGAACATGTGAGCAATGAATTGTTTGCGAATGTTGGCAAAGCCGCTGAACAAAAGGTAGTGGAAGACTTGGTACAGGTAAGCATAGATGAAAAGAATCCGGATAAGTTCTTTTTGCTTGGCTCATCTATGTCCAGCACTGAGAGAATTGAGGTCATGGAATTCTTGACCTCCAACATCGAAGTGTTTGCCTGGACGCCGTATGACATGCCTGGCATTGACCCAAGCTTCATCTGTCACCAACTGAATGTCCACTCAACTGCCAGACCAATTATACAGCGCACTCGCAGATCGGCACTCCACCATATCGAGATAGTGGCAGAAGAAGTAGAAAACCTGCTAGAAGCAGGAGCTATCAAAAAGGTGTACTGCCCCAGATGGATCTCCAATACAGTAATGGTACCTAAAAAGAATGGAAAATGGCGTGTCTGTGTGGACTACAAAACAATCAACAAGGCTTGCCCAAATGACAGCTTTCCTCTACCACGGATAGACCAACTGGTAGATCTGATGGCAAGACACAACCGTCTTAGCTTTCTTGATGCGTACAGAGGGTACCATCAGATCGCCATGTACGAGCCAGACCAGGAGGTTACATCTTTTACGATGCCAAGATGACTATATTGTTACAAGGTCATACCCTTTGGCCTTAAGAACGCAGGGGCAACATTCCAACGGATGGTCACCAAGATGTTCGAACCATTGTTAGGCAAAACAATGGAGGCCTACATCGACGACATAGTGGTCAAGAGCAAGAATAAGAATGACCATCTCAGGGACCTAGGTGAGATGTTTCAGATCCTAAAGAAGCACAAACTACGCCTTAATGCATCCAAGTGTGCATTCGGCGTAGGATCTGGCAAGCTCCTAGGCTTCTTGGTGACCAACCGAGGTATAGAAGTAGACCCCTCTCAAATCAAAGCAATTCAGGAACTAGAGAGACCCAACTCTGTAAAAAAAGTACAGCATCTCACCGGAATGGCAGCCGCGCTAAACCAGTTCATAAGTCGGTCGTCAGACAGATGTCGACCATTTTTTCAAGCATTAAAGGCCAAGTTTGAGTGGGATGAAGAATGCGACCGCGCCCTTGAAAGTTTGAAAGAATACATGTCTTCTCCACCACTGATAGTGACCCCAATACCTGGAGAAGAACTATTTTTGTACCTGGCAGTTTCGCAGCACGCAATCAGCGTAGTATTGGTCCAAGCGGAAGGAATCCAGCATCTACCTATCTTCTATGTCAGCAAGACATTGCTGGGCGCGGAAACCAGGTACTTACCATTGGAAATTGTCGCATTACTTCCACGCCC